ATAGCAAACTGTCCTAATTTATAGAAACAGTATAGTGAAAAGATTATTTTTATATGAGAAATAACTGAGTATTTTTTAGGCTAAGGCATATAGCCATAGCAAACTGTCCTAATTTATAGAAACAGTATAGTGAAAAGATTATTTTTATATGAGAAATAACTGAGTATTTTTTAGGCTAAGGCATATAGCCATAGCAAACTGTCCTAATTTATAGAAACAGTATAGTGAAAAGATTATTTTTATATGAGAAATAACTGAGTATTTTTTAGGCTAAGGCATATAGCCATAGCAAACTGTCCTAATTTATAGAAACAGTATAGTGAAAAGATTATTTTTATATGAGAAATAACTGAGTATTTTTTAGGCTAAGGCATATAGCCATAGCAAACTGTCCTAATTTATAGAAACAGTATAGTGAAAAGATTATTTTTATATGAGAAATAACTGAGTATTTTTTAGGCTAAGGCATATAGCCATAGCAAACTGTCCTAATTTATAGAAACAGTATAGTGAAAAGATTATTTTTATATGAGAAATAACTGAGTATTTTTTAGGCTAAGGCATATAGCCATAGCAAACTGTCCTAATTTATAGAAACAGTATAGTGAAAAGATTATTTTTATATGAGAAATAACTGAGTATTTTTTAGGCTAAGGCATATAGCCATAGCAAACTGTCCTAATTTATAGAAACAGTATAGTGAAAAGATTATTTTTATATGAGAAATAACTGAGTATTTTTTAGGCTAAGGCATATAGCCATAGCAAACTGTCCTAATTTATAGAAACAGTATAGTGAAAAGATTATTTTTATATGAGAAATAACTGAGTATTTTTTAAGCTAAGGCATATAGCAATAGCAAACTGCCCTATATAGAAACAGTAGTGAAAAGATTTGTATCCGAGAAATAACGGAGTATTTTTTTTTTAGGCTAAGGCATGTAACGTTATATAGCAAACTGCCCTATATAGAAACAGTAGTGAAAATATTGTTTTTATATGAAAAATAACCGAGTATTTTTTAAGCTAAGGCATATAGCAATAGCAAACTGCCCTTTATAGAAACAGTAGTGAAGACTATTTTTATATGAAAAATAACAGAGTGATTTTTTAGGCTAAGGCATATAGCCATAGCAAACTGCCCTTGATAGAAACAGCGCTGAAATAACATCACGACTTATTAGATATCCCAAGAGACCTGCAACACTTCCAGCCACCCAAACACGGACAAACAGTACACTCAAAAAGAGGCGCCTTCTTTTTACACGTACTGCTTGTTCATGCTGAATGACTGGACGTCTCACAGAGACCTTGGAAAAATAATAAAGTTGCAATGCCACTGCCTATATGTACGGTCTCTGTATTCTACAGTTCCTTCTTTGAATCTCATAATCAGGCTCCCGCATGTACGCAATCGTACCTATTTTTAGACATACAAAAAGCAGGAGCCTTTCAATTTCAATGAAGTACAATGTATTTTTATTAATTCATAAATCACGAATATAAACTCAAAGTCATGAACATATATAGTTGGCCTCTATATATATATGCTGTGCTTCCTCCAATTTCAAGTAAGCATAATTTATATAAATATTAGTTTAAACTCAAAGTCATGAACATATAGTTTGGCTCTATACATTGCCCTATAATTCTGCCAATTTGAATTATAAACACGAGTATAAACTCAGGACCGTTGTAACATATAGTTTTCGATAATAACTTTCCCTAACTTTACAATTAAGCATAATTCACGTAAATACGACTAGTATAAACACAGAAGTCATGAACATGTATAGTTGGGCTCAAAGCTCGATAATTGATTTCTCTATAAATTTCAATTAACTAGTTCTATAAATACCAGTATAAATTAGGAGCCATATAAATTAGGAGCCATGACTATATAGACTATATAGCTGGCCTCTAGAATTTCTTTCTCCGAAATGTTTAGAAATAAACGAGTATGTCAACTTGAGCCATGAACATATAGTTGGGCTCTATATAGTTGCTGTTTTAATCTCAAAATACATCTGAATGTTGAAATGGTAGCATGTAAACGGAGTTTAACAATATTGAGAAGGCATGCAGGCGAGTGGGACTCTCTTAACTCCTTCAGTCTCAATGTCACATCATGATATACAGATATGAAAACAATAAACATAAATGGCAATAAAAATAAAAAAACTGTGTAGATTAAAATACGTGACTGCCTCCCGCAGTGTGGGGTTATTGGGTTCGCCAGCGACTCACATCCTGATTCATTCAACCTAAAAGTAAAATTAGAAAGAAAAATTTTAACAACAAATAAAATTGATGCATCGTTTATCAAATTTCCATTTTTAAAATGGGAAAGAAGCTTTGTTAGAGAAGGGGCGTCTTTTAGAGAGAGCGTCTGTCAGAGTAATATTTGGAGTAATATCTTTAAAGTTCACAAAGAAAAGAGAAATTTAAATTTTCATTACCTTATAGCATTCGAGCGTTGTTCTCAAAGATTGAGGCACCGATTTCTGGAGTGATGGTATACTGTTTCCTCTGATGCACACGATGTAGCCAGCAGGTCAACCAGAATAGAATGCGCTGTGTTGCTCTTCTAATGACACGAACCGCGACTGGCCATGGTCAATTTCAATCAAACGTTAGTCGTGTTCGCGTTTCTTCTGTCTCTTGTTTGGGCTGAAATCACTAGCGAGTCTTTGGTTTTTAAATTCAGGCAAGAACGCGTTTGCTTGACATGATCCCACGACTCATGAGACTGAGAATTGGACATTTCTTGTTTTCACTAAAACGACAAATTTTAAAACAAATTTAGCTACAAAACACCCCGAAATTTTATCATAACATTTTTCTATTAATTTAAAAGGCAGCGGGCAAAGCAACTTTAGCCTACTTCGACAAGCAGTTTCAAATAGTTTTATACGGCATCGCCGAAACCGATGAACATGGCTTTTATATAAAACAGAAAATTACGTACCTCGAGTATTTAGCTTCACTTGACGTTGAGACTTCAACATTTCTCGTTTAATTTTGCTTTTAACATTCGAGCAAGAGGGCGATTTTCCTTGACTTGGCATAGGCAGCTTGGCCGTTGAGCCGTGACGCCAGCATGGTTAAAAATTCACATTTCTTGCTTCCACTAAAATGACAAATTTTAAAACAAAATTAGCTACAAAACACCCTTAAATACCTCATCAAACATTTCTCTACCAAATAACGTAAAGACGACAAAACCAAGGCTTAATTCAGTGTCTTATAATGGCTGGACGAGACGATTGTGACAGCACGCGGTGCGGCCCAAAGCAAAGATAAGCGACTTGCGTCATTAACTTCGACAAGCTAGTAATTGCAAACCCATTTATACTGGCTGGAATATCACAGTAAAATAGATAGAACATACCATAATTCTGTCTTTGACTTTGATTCTGTGCTTTTAAGCTTCATAATTCGATCTTTAAAGACTTCTTTCAACCACGAGACGCGAGCTTTGACAAACTAAAACTATCTGGTCAAAACCGCCCCTAATTTGAATATAATTTACATGCAAATCCTGACTATCATGTCTGGAATGCTATTGCTGACTTCTGATTGGTGGGTGTTTACAAAAGAATCTCTCTGATTGGTAAAACCTCTCTTGCTTAGATTGGCTTCAATCCCTATGGGAATTTAAATCTACGGTATATTGTAGAGCTACATAATTATTATTCAGAATTTATTATTTTTATGTGCAGTATGCCTATTTATTGCCAAATAAGGCGTTATCTTAGGCCATGCCGGTTGACTAGACGCATAATTATAAATTCAAATAAAAATTGTTTTCGCTTATAAAATAACAGCCTTCAAGAGCCCATGCATGATCTTCAAATAGAATGGCATAAAAAATAATGGTTGTTTTTATTGTCTAACATATTTTTAACGGCATGCTGGATATATTTTCTGACGAATGGTCTCGTCTATTACAGTATTAGGGCCAGAACTTTCGTATATTAATATATATGCCGATTTAAACTACACAATTTTTGCCTTAGTCAATTATCGTAGACAAGTTGTATGCTTGATTTACACAGTACAACTCAAGTTGTAAACAAGTTGCATGCGACGACAACCTTAGGAAAGGTTGTGCAGTTTAAATAAGCCTTATAAAAGCTGCGACGTCGACGTTTCGAGGCTTCGAAACCACGACAATAAGTCACTCAAAAAAACTTGAGTCGTTGGTAATATATACAGTGTTTTTATTGCTTAAAAATTACTTTTACATTGGATTAATAAGGACTGTTAATTCTGCTTAAATATGTTACACCATCTACAATATAAGGAGTGACGTCAGTATCTTCTTCAGCCAGGCGAGGCACACGACCTGACATCAGCTCTTGAAAAGCCTTGAAAAATAACAAGCATAATTTTGTACACTCTGTTGGAGAAACACGATTGTTGGTAATGCTGTTGCTGCTGTTGTTGCTGCTGTTGTTGTTGCTGTTGTTGTTGCTGTTGTTGTTGCTGTTGTTGTTGCTGTTGTTGTTGCTGCTGTTGTTGTTGTTGTTGTTGTTGTTGTTGCTGTTGTTGTTGCTGTTGTTGTTGTTGTTGTTGTTGTTGTTGTTGTTGTTGTTGTTGTTGTTGTTGTTGTTGTTATGGTTGTTGCTGTTGTTGTTATTGTTGTTGTTGTTGTTATGGTTGTTGTTATGGTTGTTGTTGTTGTGGTTGTTGTTGTTGTTGTTGTTGTTGCTGTCGTTGTTGTTATGGCTGTTGTTGTTGCTGCTGCTGCTGTTGCTGTCGTTGTTGTTATGGCTGTTGTTGTTGTTGTTATGGCAGCATACATAACGTTATACTTACATTACACGCAGGCTCAAGCAACTTGTTTCCCCAAATATAAATTCTTGTCAAACTTGAGTTCGTTTTCATTGCCTTGGCCAGCGCGCACAGACCTTGCGTTGCGATATTATTGCTGCACACAACCAGCCTAAAACATCACGAGAAAAATCGCATCATTAATAATTATTGGTCGAGTACAGTAAACAAACTTTAACCAAAAAAATTAATCATGACAAATTCATAATCCACTCATACTTACGTTTGTAAGTTTGTGTTTCCACGAGCAAGCACTGCGCTTAATGCACATGCTCCATCATCTTCAATCCTGTTGTAAGCCAAGTTCAACATTTCTAAGGGGGTGTTTTTCTTCAGAAGTCTGGCGAGGTAGCTGGCACCATCTCGAGTCACGCGGTTACTGGTAAGATAATTTTAGGTAAAGATCAACACTAAATCCGATAAAGGCACATGGACTGTAAACACTATGATATCATATGAACATAATAAACATACCAACTCAGATGTAATTGTTTCAACGTTGTATTATACACCAGGTTTTCAGCTAATCTTTCAGCACCAAAATCTCGTATACCACATTTCGCCAAGTGAATTTCTTCTAATGAACGATTCACCTAGCATGCAGCAAGAAAGGATCACACAATTCGACTAAATATAAGACTAAATTGAAACTCAAGGAGATACTTTTTCAGGGAGCAAACGGTACCTTTAGCATGCCAGCCATGTGTACGACGACAGACTCCTCCTAAAAATGAAAGAATATATACTCGAGGATGTGAATAGAAAGGACATAAGGCGATCTAGCTCAAAATAATGGGAGATAGGTCTCCGGTCAAAATGACCCGCGGTCAACTTGATTGTAGCTCGGTCAAAATGTTTTTTGACCGGTCATTGATACGTTTACACTAACAGGGGGGAGGGGTTAATAGGGGTATACAAATCCGCCGATCCGCCCAAATTTGAAGCAAGATCCGCGATCCGACAATCAGGGTCTTGTCCAAATTTGAATCCGCTAAAAGTTCTACTATGAAGTCACAATCCAGGATCCGAACTAAATTGAAAGCTAATCCACAATCCGAGCCAAAATATTAGATAAATCCACAATCCGCTGTATTAATAAGATCCGCAAATCCGTGTAAAATATTCGCCAGATCCGAAATCCGAACTATTTTTTCTGTGAAATCCGACGATCCGAAAACCTATTCACCCCCCCCCCCCCGTGAACTCCCTAATAGTGAACCAAACTGTTAGAAACTTGTTTCGATACATCATAGTTTCATGTTTTAATTCAAGATGTCAGCACATTGGAAGGCATGAGAATGTGACCGGTTAAAACGAACGGTGAGGCAAAAAAAGTGACCGATCAAGAGGCATTTTTGGCCACAGATTTAGATCGAGGACGCGGACGTCAAAGATGATGTGGAAATGGCGTGTTGTGCCCATGTATGGATATGCCACGCCATTTTGACGCCATGCACTTTCATGTCGTCTTTGACGTCCGCGTCCTCGATCTAAATCTATTGTCCGTTGACCGGCCGTTATTTTGAGTCCTGCAAAGATACAGTAAAGAGGTTCAGATTTAAATTCCACTACTGCTACTGCTACCATTAAGGTAATTAAGGGGCATCAACCAATCATGAAGATGCGTTTGATATATCCAATTAACCAATCAGATGCCTTACCTGTGAGGAGTGAAGTATTGGTCTGCTAATATTAAGAACTTTCAGGGTGTTGTTGTAGTTTAAGACTGTTGCCACTGCCACGCAACTTTCAGTGCCCTGTAACATAAAGCGCGTTTATATAATATTAGCTCGTCAAGAACTTCGCGTGCTAATTCATTGTCATATATGTACGCGTTACCTAGAGGATTCTGGGGTCTTCTGAGAATCCTTGTTCTGGACTTAAGACATTCACGTGAAAAGAGTCAACGCTCTGCCGAAAGTCATGAAAGTCATTCGGTTTCCTCTCACATAGACAATCCAGGAATGTTTATTAACAATGGTTGGGATTAGTGACATTAGTCCCTAACTGACCCTTCCACCGTAGCTGTGCTCTCCGATCAGACATGAGTCATAAGGTTGCTGCCAGAGGCGCCCTTAGAAAGTCTTCAACTCGATCAAATCATAGCTGCATCCTTCGAGTTACATCCTTCGTAATACACGCTTCTGGCAACTACGTCTCCTTGGCTATACAGTCTCGTTTTCGTGATTGAGATGTCAGGCTTTAACATGTCACATTCAGGAAAACGAGGCTCTGTAGCCAAAGTGACACACTTTCCAGAAGGGCGTATTCATGCAGTTTAGCTCCCAGCTACAAGTAGGGATAATCAGCACACGCGCTCTTACTCCGCACTCACTCACTCACCTACTTACCATATCAGTATCAGCCATGTCCAATTCCTGTAGTATCGTGTTCACTTGGAGCGATCCGGCAATAGCCAGTGCACCTTTGTTGCAAATCTTGTTCCCATTCAGTTTTAAAACCAGTAACGTCTCGTTCATCTACAAAAGTAATAAAGTTAAACTCTGAGTGACTACAACAACTCTCTACTAAACGATGCTCAGCCCCAAAGTTTAAATCTTTTTTAAAATATTGTAACTTGCCTGTAGTCCTTTAGCTAGATCTTGTGCTCCTTCTGATGTGATGTCATTATAGGATAAAATTAGCTCTTTTAAAATCAGCGTTTCCTAATTAACCGAAGCATAAAATAACTATAAGAGGTAGCAGTCTTTCACATGTAAAAGCGTGCAGACCTTCAAGCAATTTTGTACCAATGCTGTTTCAACAACTTGTCACCAGGATGTGTTAATTAGCACTGCTTGTTTCCAGCTTGTTATGACAAGTTGTCAACAATTTGTTACAAGGTTGTTGATCCAACATACACGTTACAAGTTTTTATAACAACTGGTATTTCGTCCTGGAATTCTACGACGAGTTATATATTAATAACAAGTTGCAAGTGAAAAGGTTCCTTGCAGCAACTTGATAAAATAACAGCATATTAAAACTTGTTCACAAACTTGCCACAAGCCTGTTGCAAACAGCCATCTTGCTATTACAAGATGTGAGACTATTATGCGTGTATAAGAGATATCCAGTATATAAATAAGTTGGTGTAGCTTACTATTTATATTACCTGTAGCAATTTGGACAAGGTTTTGGCACCAACATCTGTAATGCTGTTATATCCCAGGTCTAAACCAACCACAAACGTATTGCATTGAAGCGTCCTGTACAGAGTGTCCACATTCTACAATTGGTAGAGAATAGTAAGTCAGAGAAACAACAAATTATGTTCCAGATCAGATAAACAAATTATAAGATGGTGATCAATGTTCATACTAACCTCATCATTAATTTTCCTTCTGTATTTTTCATTTCTTTCATTTCGTTTATTTGCGTGCAACTTTAGCGTGCAAAATTGTGTCTGATCTCTAGAATTATGTGTGAAAAAATTAAACCATCTAGCTAAATCATATGTAGCTAAATCAAATGTTCTAGCTAAATCATATTGCACAAGGTATCTGCACAGTTCATCTTCACAAATGATTTTGCATGCATAAATTGTCTTGATGCATCTTCTGCAAAAATATCCCATAAATTAGGGTCATCTTGTGCGAGTACAGGCCACGTCTTGATAAATAAGAACTATTTATAAACTCTTGTCGTTTCAAACTTTCACACAAACCACTAATACAGAACACTAACAGCAAAATATACAGTACAAAGCGCAAAAACATTGACTTACATTATCTGATCGTCAATAGCGTGGTTTAAAACCGCCAAAATTTCCCCCGCTGGCTCTCGTTTCGTTTCTGCACAAACGCGAAAATATATTTCCTTAGTTGTGGTACCGTCTCCCATCCTCGTTTTATCAAAAATTTTCCATTTGAATAAAAAATTTCAACAAAATTCTATCGAATACACAAAACAACACTCCTAACAGGCCGCCATGTTGTTTGAATTTAATTAGTTCTGTTGCCATGTCAACAACAACTAATGACGTCAATCGAATCTAGAAAATGAGCCCACGAGAATTTCCGAAATTCGAGTACACAAAACAAAATTAGCTGGAATTTTTAACAATAAATTTGTCAATACAGCAGTAGGAACCCACTCTCCTCCGCAGAGTCTGAATTATATAGGATTTGTATGGATAGTGAAGGATATTTAGTGATGCGCGACGGGGGGGTGAGATCGATGGTTGAATATTACGCAATTTTACAAAAAAATTCGTAAGGCTCTGCGGAGGAGAGTGGTAGGAACCTAAATATGACAAAAAAGGTGTTAAACTTTACCCGAGTAAACTTTTATGTAAGAATTCTGTACGGAAGCACAGTCATTCATCGTTTTATTTCATTTCCGACCGACGGCGTACGGTTCCGAAGAGCGGTCGGCAGGAAATGTGCAAAAATACACTGATCTATGTAGTTAAAAATGGATGCACCTTGCACCAGCACTGTAGACACTGTACTGTAGCACAGAATACTACACAGAAGGGCATGTACTAAAAGGCGAAACGTCGAAACGAAACGACCGAAACGAAACGGCCGAAACGACCGAAACGAAACGACCGAAACGAAACAACCGAAACGAAACGACCGAAACGAAACAACCGAAACGAAACGGCCGAAACGAAACGGCCGAAAATATAAAACACAGGAAAATTGAAAAATGCGGATACGGACGGACGGACGGACGGAGGGGACAGGCGGATGTACGGGGGAGACAGGCGGATGGACGGGGGAAGAGGCGGATGGACGGGTGGGGGACAGGTGGATGGACGGGGGAAGAGGCGGATGGACGGGGGGGACAGGCGGGTCGACGGGGGGGGGACGGCTTCATTTGACACGAAACTGATATTTAAAATCAAATCCGCGTTTTGTTGAAAGGGATATATTAGGATATATTATAAAAGACTATTATTAATCGTAATAAATTGTCCGCGAAAAGTTGATAAAATACACGTGGAAATGCGGGGTTTTTCAAACCTTCGTAACGCTTGATCGGATAAAACGCGGATATGCTGCAACTTTCATGCTTAATTTTCTCAGTCATCTGGGTATGTAGTAATCTAATTTTATGCAATGTAATGTGTTATATTTTCAAGGGCTTTTCAATGCAGTTATCGGTTTAAACTATACCTAAAATTCCCGTTAAGATATGACAATTGCCTTACGGCCTACTTTTACGCAAGCGAAAATTAGCTACAATTGCCACTTTCATGCTTAATTTTCTCTGTTATCCGGGCATGTAGTAATGTAATTTTATGCCAATGTAATGTGCTGATGAAATTTGCAGTTGTAATTTGCGTTTGCGTAAAAGTAGTCCGTACGGCAATTGTCATATCTTAACGGGAATTTGAGTTATATTTAAACCAATAACTGCATCGAAAAGCCCTTGAAAAATAGCACCTTACATTGGCATAAAATATACATTACTACATGCCCAGATAATATAACAGAGAAAATTAAGCATGAAATTTGCAGTTGTAATTTTCGTTTGCGTAAAAGTAGGCCGTACGGCAATGGACCATTTGCATTATACACTAAATTTTGATCTAGACAAAACTTTCATCACAGCTCGAAAGAGCATCACAAAATTAGTAATATTCCAAAGTTTCGTTGCGAAATGTTGTAAAGTGTGGATAATATAACCTTGCAAAGTTTGCCGTTTTTCAGTCATTTTGTATTACGCACGGGAAATTGACAGCCCAATCGGGTGTTGGGGCATCAATTTCCCGTTTGTAATACAAAATGACCAGCCTCGTACCCAGGCGCAAATAACGTACTAAAAAACAGCAACACTACAGTTTTTTTATAAAAACACTGTAGTGTTGCTAATTTTTAGTACGTTATTTGCGCCTGGGTACGAGGCTGCAAAATGACTGAAAATTGCAAATTTCGCAAGGCTATATTATCCGCATTTTACAACATTTCGCAACGAAACTTTGGAATATCACTAATTTTGTGATGCTCTTTCGAGCTGTGATGAAAGTTTTGTCTAGATCAAAATTTAGTGTATAATGCAAATGGTCCATTGCCGTACGGCCTACTTTTACGCAAACGAAAATTACAACTGCAAATTTCATGCTTAATTTTCTCTGTTATATTATTTGGGCATGTAGTAATGTATATTCTATGCCAATGTAAGGTGCTATTTTTCAAGGGCTTTTCGATGCAGTTATTGGTTTAAATATAATTCAAATTCCCGTTAAGATATGACAATTGCCGTACGGACTACTTTTACGCAAACGCAAATTACAACTGCAAATTTCATCAGCACATTACATTGGCATAAAATTACATTACTACATGCCCGGATAACAGAGAAAATTAAGCATGAAAGTGGCAATTGTAGCTAATTTTCGCTTGCGTAAAAGTAGGCCGTAAGGCAATTGTCATATCTTAACGGGAATTTTAGGTATAGTTTAAACCGATAACTGCATTGAAAAGCCCTTGAAAATATAACACATTACATTGCATAAAATTAGATTACTACATACCCAGATGACTGAGAAAATTAAGCATGAAAGTTGCAGCATATCCGCGTTTTATCCGATCAAGCGTTACGAAGGTTCGAAAACCCCCGCATTTCCACATGTATTTTATCAACTTTTCGCGGACAATTTATTACGATTAATAATAGTCTTTTATAATATATCCTAATATATCCCTTTCAACAAAACGCGGATTTGATTTTAAAATTGAGTTTCGTGTCAAATGAAATCCGCCTGTTCCCCCGTCCATCCGCCTGTCCCCCCTCCTCCATCCCCCTCTTCCCTCGTCCATCCACCTGTCCTCCCCCGTCCATCCACCTGTCCCCCCCGTCTATCCGCCTCTTCCCCCGTCCATCCGCCTGTCCCCCCCGTCCGTCCGTCCGTATCCGCATTTTTCAATTTTCCTGTAATTTACATTTTCGGTCGTTTTGTTTCGGTCGTTTCGGTCGTTTCGTTTCGGTCGTTTCGTTTCGGTCGTTTCGTTTCGGTTGTTTCGTTTCGGTCGTTTCGTTTCGGTGGTTTCGATAGTTTCGGCCGTTTCGTTTCGGTCGTTTCGTTTCGACGTTTCGCCTTTTAGTACATGCCACACAGAAGTCCATCTCCATTGTTTTTAGCGTAAGCTCTATTCGTCATGATTCGTCACTCAGCAAGTACCGTAAACAGAAGCAATCGCCCCCTGGACATACGCCATTTTTAGTATTTCCAGGAGGGGGACTGCTTCTGTTTACGGTACTTGCTGAGTGACGAATCATGACGAATAGAGCTTACGCTAAAAACAATGGAGATGGACTTCTGTGTAGTATTCTGACTGTAGTGTGCTTTTTATCACTTTTTCCAAATAAATTGTATTGAAACGATTCTACAATATTTTAACAATGATAAATTGTAAAAATCACATTGTATCTAAATATTTCTCGACTATTCACACAAAGCATCTTTGTTTACTGAGCGTGTTTACAAACACAATACAAATGAAATCTGATCGATCTGGTTGTTTAGCCGTCGCTATGGTAACCATGCAATGATATCAAATTCATAATTCTAGTCTGGGTTAGTTTGTGGGTCATTTTTTAGCTTTTAACACCTTTCTTTCCCCCTAAATCTCATTTCCCTACGTATTTCGGACCGTGGATAAGCTACCTACAGGAATTATTACAGTAAAAAGGTACGTACCGAATCGTTTTTGTTTTTTACCCATTTATATCCGATGTAAAATAATTGGAATCGCAAAATGGTCATTCAATAGTTGTCCAACAAATGGCGATTTAATCTTATTTAACACGCTGTTCGCCTTTAAAGATGTTCTGGTTTATGTTTTATATATTTAAACGGTTGTTCAAAAATGCTAATATGCTATTGAGCGAAAACGCAAAAGGACAACGCGCCTAATTTATAAATTGGCTGCACTTTTGAATAGAATCCAAACAAAAATGTTATAATTTCTCGATTGCTGTGTTATTTCAATCATTGCGTTAATGACGCGCATAGTTTTAGTAGATTTCGCTTTTTGAAAAGCACATATTAAGCGTAGATACAGAAAATAGTTAATAGTTACGATTATTAAATCAAGATTAGAATGAATTCATTGATAGTATCGCGCCAAATTTTTGGCAAGAAGATAGCATATTTTGAGTGCAATGTATTAAATTCCTTGGTTTAATTAAGGAAGTTAATGGCGTTAAAAGATTAAAATAGCTTTGACATGTAAACACCGGTAAGCCAAGGACTGGTCTGTATGTGCCAAAGCAAAAATCGTTCGTTAGCCAAGAGATTTTGTTTTTGAAAGAATCTGCAAGACAATTGATTGTACATGATGGTATTGAGGGCAGTGGTACATACCTATCTATGGTACATACAGTATACAATGTGCGAGGTGGTTGATCAAGGTTACAGGTTATATTCCTGGAATTTATATTGCTTGAGTAGGTTGTTTGTCCATCAATAAGGCCTGTTAGCCTGTTAGGGTAGATTCCGACACACGACATTGCCTTGAAATGGCAACATATAGAAAATGAAATACCGACAATGGACACAATCTCTGTCTAAATTGTGACAGCCACATGGTAATAAAGGATGAAAACAATGATGAAATTTGAAAAGCGACATATAGCAATGTTTTCAAACGGCGACATTAACTTGAATTAAGGAGTTAAAGTTAAACATCAAATGCTAGCTACTTTCTCTCCTAGCTCCCATGGTTCTTGTTTGATCATAAATATTTTGTGTTGTTTTTAAGGCATGGATACAACAGAAAGATCAAAAGAAGGTAAATGTACACATAAAAAACTACACAGGGATGTTGGAACAATGTGAGGGCAAGGGGGGGAAATTTTCATAGAAGGGCACTTTTCCATGGGTTAATCATAAATTTTGTGTCATTTAACACCCCCCCCCCGACAACATTTTTTTCTGAAATATAGTAAAAAATTTTGAAACCACCAAATTAGCTAGTAAAACTGACAGGTACAAGAAATGTTTGATTGGCAATTTTGGGCACATGCGGTGAACATTTTAAAACATAACAAATATTTCCCGAAAATAAAAAACGGCACCTTTGTCCCTCTTTACTAGGTTTGGAAACCTCCCCACTGAAGTTTACTATATTGTCAATGATTTTAGGTCAAATTCAATTACAAATAGAATATGGTTCACAACATGGTCAAGTGCAAGTTAATGTGATGGAAGTCAACAGTCTAATTTTACCAGCAGGTACTGACAGGCAGACCGTGGGTTGGGTCCTAAACATGGGTGTTCAATGTGGTAGTATTCCACAATGGTAGTATGGTTTAGTAGATGAATGTAGCCCTTCAAGAAATTGCATTCAAATTGGACACTATTTTAATTTTCAAAGCAGCAGCAGCAGCAGCAACCAGCAGCAGCATACACCATTATTTTAATATTCCTATGGCTGCTTTCTGTTAGAATTACTCGACAAGCTTCGCAGTTTTCCCCGACTGTACGAGGGAAGAAAAACAAGCTGCGAACAAGCTACCGTCTGGTGTCGCAGTTGTAAGATCTGATAAGGAATAACGAACAAAAATGATGGCTTTTTGAGAAGAACTCGATTGAGGTCGGCAAAAAATGCCAACATGGGACATTGGCTATTCACCGATTAGTGATTTTTTCAAGCGTTGAAAATTTCGTAAATTCATAAAAGTTAGTGCGAATATGGATCCCCCAATTAACAAAAGGCACTTGAATTTTTATATACGAGGGTTTAAAATCTGGGTCATACCAATCAACAGCCAATATTTTGCGTTATTGCTATAATATACTCATTCAACTTTCAATTGTTTTAGTCAAACGTCTTGGTATCTCGCATGTTTATGTGAAAAGTCATTTGCTGAACGAGAAGACAAAAGAATTGATGAAAACAAAAAGTGCCGTGAAAGGTTTCTTCCTATCAGACGCGTCCAAGGATACGAAACGAAAAACGGAGGAGGTGAAACTGACGCTCTCCTGTCATGATACGTCGTCTGGCAGTTTTGAAAGTAAAGGCGACGATAAGTCTCGGAAAAATAAGATTAGGAAAGCATTACAGAAACAGCGAGAGAGGTTTAGATTGAGAAGGAATTCCGATAAAGGTGTGTATTCTTTCTTCAATAATAGTGAGTGTCCTTATACTGGATTTGTAGGGAGAATAGTTTAAAAATATGGAGCTATATCCAGTATAAATATAAAAGGTTTGCCCACCTTCAGTATTGCAAAATGCAAACACATCTTGTTGAGAAGCTGTTGGAACAGCATTGTCACAACTTGTTAACAAGCTTGCTACAAACCTATTGCAAACACATCTTGTTGAGAAGTTGTTGGAACAGCATTGTAACAACTTCTTAACAAGCTTGCTACAAGCCTGTTGAGGAGTCATCTTGTTGAGAAGTTGTTGGAACAGCATTGTAACAACTTGTTTGCTACAAGCCTGTTGAGGAGACATCTTGTTGACAAGTTGTTGGAACAGCATTGTCACAACTATGAAATGCCAAAACTGAGTTTCAAATGCCAGAACTACCTTTTGAAAAGCTAGAACTCCGTTTTCAAATGCCAGTCGCCAGAACTCCCTTTTCAAATGCTAAAACTCAGTTTTCAAAAGCGAGAACTCCCTTTTTAAATGCCAAAACTGAGTTTTCAAAAGCCAGAACTCCGTTTTCAAATGCCATAACACCGTTTTCAAATGCCATATAAACTCCGTTTTCAAATACCAGAACTCCGTTTTCAAATACCAGAACTCGGCCGTTTTCAAATACCAGAACTCCGTTTTCAAATACCAGAACTCCGTTTTCAAATACCAGAACTCCGTTTTCAAATGCCAGAACTCCGTTTTCAAAAGCCAATTAGCGCATTTGACAATATGAAACATAACTAAAAAAAAATTCTTCGGTGCCTGGTCCCCTGTCGCAATTTGCAAGCTTCAAGCGAAGCGAGCAAGTTTGGACCACGTAGGCAAGGGCTAACTGAAAAATTTTTTTGGCTACCGGAAAAAAAAAAATATACAGGTTGGGAAACCTTGCTAGGGAACAATGCAACTGGTCGACTCTGGTGCTAATTCTTTTCTTTTTTTTTTCTCACTCTTCAGTTAAAACAGTGGTGAACGCTGCTGGTGATGAGGACGGCCGAGCTACGCTTTCCTTCGAAAGACCCTTGTACTACCCCTCAGTTTCCCTTTACCAACTACAGACGCAATGTCTGCATCTCACGATTTGCGGACGGAATATTACGACCACACGTAGTCTCCCCATAGCAACGACATGCATACCGCTGATGATTGCGATCAAGCAACACCAATCTACGTGGTATCAACTGTCGTATAACCCTGATTTGACCACTGGAAAACACGAGCCGAGTACGACAGCACAGGAATCCTGGGAAAAGGGCGAAGGTCAGTATCAGTTTCTTTAGAGACTCTAATTTTGCTAGTCAAACAGGCCTTCCAAAATTATTTGAAGTAAACGTCTGTGATTGGAAAGATTTCACCACCACCAACTGTTTCCACACATGACGACTGTCGCAAAGTTCGCAAATTTTGTATACTTTTGTATTGCGTGCGGAAATTGCTACCACATTTAGGCCGAAAATGGTAGCAATTTCCGCACGCGATACAAAAGTATACAAAATTTGCAAACTTTGCAAGGCTATATTTTCCGCATTTTACAACATTTCGCAACCAAACTTTGCAATTTTACTCATTTTAGTATGCTCTTTCTAGCTGTGGTGATTTATTTGTATTGCCCCTTGCCTAGTCTTAAAATTAGTCTATAATGGGAATTGTTTGCCGACTCGTGTGTTCCACCCCATCCCCCCCCCCCTTACACCCCCTGTAGCTTGGGCTATGAGAAAGCAATCAAGTGAACTATTTCTTCATTTTAGGTGGTGCCCACTACACAGGGCGAAGTCTAGCGTGGGATCGAGGTGAAGCAAAAGACAACAACAGCTCTGACAACTGGCTACACAAACGTAAAGACTATAGCAGACATATGCATCCAAAACAGCGAAGACAACCACCCGCAAAGAAATCGTCCCTTCACGCCAACACTTCGGGACACGGCGGATTCCGACGGCCTTCCGAGCATAATGACGATGTCCATTTGAGGCATGGAAAAAGCTATGATTTCAAGCAATCCGATTCGGGAGTCGGTTTGGAGAGATTGGGCAGACATGACAGTATTGAAGAATTATACTTCAACGAGGAAACATCCGATCATTTTCAATCAAGAAATTTTCGACCGCCACAAAAACAATGGAAATCGGAATTTGTCATATGCGGCTCAACGTTGGATACGACGCGATCAAACAATGGCGCTAACTTAGACTTAAGCTCCCTGTCGCTTAATGGGTCTTTGAATCGACAAACGTTCGGCGAAACAATTCGCGGATTTTGAACGTAATTTTATAAATGAATTTATTTTTACAATAAACAAAGTAAATAGTAAATTTGAAATCGTTGACTTGAAAGGTTCTAGTTTATGGGAGGGTATTGGAGCTGTGCGGTTCCAGAAATTTCATCACGGTCCGGTTTCGGTCTTTTGCTTGATGGAAGAACCTCGGTTCTGTTTCGGTATTTTTAAAAGAATAACAATTCAAAGCATTCGCTCAGTAAATTGTGATGTAACTTCAAAATAAACAAGTTACAGTTCAATGAAACAAAAACATCTTAATTTCTTAGAAATTCCTTAGAACTTTCATTTCCTTA